TGCAACTTTTTGATTCTGTATATATATTATTAACGTTCTATTAAGTGTATCTTACCTTTTTCGGACTGATACATTGTTTCGGATTCTTTAACTTAGGTTCTTTCTTTTTACTACTCTTCTCTTTCTTTTTTCGTTTCTGTTCCGGCACCGTAGGTACACTTAATTCGGGAGTTTTTGGCGTACTGGGTGTACCTGGTGGTGAAATATCAGCATCATCAAATATGTAAACATCTGAAGATAAACTCTGCACATCTGCCAAATCACTGTCCGATTGTATGTGCACGTCCGGTGTATGAGGTGTCTTCTTCTCTTCGCGTCCTCCTTTCGGGTCCGTGTCGTTTCGATGTACGTGCTTCTCTGCATTCTCAACATCTATGATCAACTCTGGCGAATTTTCACGCGAATCCAGAATATCCTTGTACTTGTGCGGCTCCGTTATTTCTTTGTCTTTTTCTTCACGTGGTTTCGATATTTTCTTGAATATATTCAGTTTCTGTTTATCCGGCTCTGATGGCAATTTGTCAACAGTTTCCTCCTTCTTTTCGACAGTGGGAGGGACTTCTATTGCATCTACTACCTTTTCGGTCTTGGTCTTCGGTTGTGTTGTCTTCGATGACTTCGGACTACTGGTGGTTAATTTTGGTGACGTGATCTTCGGCGTTGGTGGCCTGCTACCCGTAAGTTCTTGTAACGTGGTAGATTGTCCTTTGCCACTGCCTAGCTTTAACGGCTTTAATTTAGCCAGCTCTTTCATACCAACTAATTTCTTTACTTTGCTCTCGGCAATCTTATCTGGCTTGAATAGTTCTTTCGCGCCTTTCTTCTTCTTGTTCTCTTTGTCAAGCTTACGATTCTCAGGACCTTTCTTCACAACTTTCTTCGGTTTCTTGTCAGTTTTCAATTCGGGCGGTACCATCGGATAAGAGCTTGGTTGCGGTGAATCTGATCGAACTTGATGCGGCGTTCTTGCTTCAGGTAGCTTTCCTTCTCGCGCGGGTGATAAAAAACCAGAAGTGGTCATCATTACGCTGCTTATCTCACGTAATGGTCTACCTTCTTCCAAAATTTTCGCGCGCTTTGCCATAGGACTTTCAAAAGACACCGGATCACCAGGCCGTTTGAAAACCACTTGCGGCGACATCCTGTGAGGTGACGCATTATTCGAATTGCCTGATGATGTCCCACTGCTAGATGTCAAGTCCGCTATGCCATTCATTAAACTTTCATTTTTATCAGATATGTATTCCTCTGTAATTATAAATTAACAATATATATATATATATAATATAAATAAATAAACATATATAATTTATTACTAAAATTATTCAATAAAAATAATATAATTTATTACCTTCGGTATCTGGATACATAGCTGGTAAATGTTCATGAACGTGCACTGGTCTTGTAACAACTTCACGACTACCCGGCTTTAAAAAATTTAAATGATTTTCACGTCGAATTGGATACTGTGGTACTTGAATAGGACATTGAACAGAATCAACATTTTTCACATATTCTGCTAATTCCTGTATATCAATATTCATATATTGAAATGTTAGTCCTAAGTCATCAAGATTCGGTTCTGTTCTTCCCACTATAAAAACAAAAATATAAATCCAAGATATTTGCGAATATACTTAAAATTATTGAACAAATTTATATTTTTATGATTATATAACTCATTTAGTTGTCGATATTTACAAAAAATCTTAAAAAAGAATAGATTTTAGGTAATAGTGTCCAAAATATATTCAAATCTGAATTTTTATTTAATAAAAAATATATCTTAATGACTAATCACAGTCATTATTATGACTGAACAGTTGAGTGTTCCTTTTTTACAGTTACATGAGAGGGGAATACTTGAATATTATTGGCTAATTCCATCAAAATTAATATAACAGTTACTCACAGACTTCTGTGTATTGATGTGTAAGTTTTGAAATACGTAATAAATATTCCTGCAAAAGATCTACTAGAAACTCCAATGGCGTAGAATTGATAGAATGCCATCCTATCGTCTGACAGATCTGTGCGACTACTATTTTCAAAACGTTTCGACTATATTCAGCTGACATTTTTATCTGCAAAGTAATATTGATATACAAACATTTTAATGCAGAGAACGTTTTAGTTGCCTAGAACTATTGCCTTACAATGTATCACACTTGTGTTAGACATTGTAGTTCCGATATAACAATTATTATACTCATAATCACTATGTAAGTATAACAAATATATATTAAATGAAATAACTATGGATGTATTAAAATAAATTTCTCATAATTTTACTATACTCTAAGAGACTATGTAATATCAAGAGATTTATTTTATCCTCAATCTTTATTAAGTTTGTGTTATAGATACTTTAAGTCTGGTTTTTTTTAAAGAATGTTCTAAAATGTATATTGGAGTAAAATAAACTCAGTATATTTGCTTTCTATTTATATAAACAGATTTATCTAAGGTCCAGTTTCCCAAACGTTCATTCCTATTATTAGTTCGTTCGAATTATCAAAACTAATACATCTTAGGAAATAAGAAAAAAAAGACGAGTGAATCTCTATTATCCAAACTACTTGATTATCAGAACTGTCTTGTCCACCAAGAAGTTTGAACAGAGTTCTATTGCATATTTGTTGTGATATACAGTGTACAGCAATTTAGAACATTCTTAAAAAAAAGGAAATTTTTTTGTTTTTATTATAATAGAATATTTTCTTAGTCAAAATTCTTAATGTCATATCCAGGAATTAAAATCAATCTTTTGCTTGACAAAAGTAATTGCTTTAACATTGAGCTATATTCAATATCTTATATACACAGGACTGTAGGGATAAGTATTTAAAATACTTTTGTTTAAAATACAGTTTAGTTTTAGGTCAATAACTTTTCAACAAATAAACAAATTTAAATAAACTTTTGCACAAATATTATTTTTTTTATCAAACTTACAAATAAGTACTACAAAATACGATTAAAAATCAAAACTAACAAAAAATTAAATAACTTTTAAACCAATAAGAAAATTGTGCTAACATTTTACATAGATATTCAGATGTAATAATATTACAATCATAAATTTTTTTATATTTTTGACAATGTTTTGAGATATAATACATACATCATAATATAATATTAAAGAATCACTAAGCGCTGATTAATTTTCTCCACTGATAACTATCCACACATAAGATTCTAAAGCAATGAGACTAGAAAAAATGAGTTATAAAATACTTTTATCAACTTGATATGCTAATTACATAGTAATTAATTTATAAAGCAGAGTAAAATTATACAATGATATTTAGAATACATTCTAAAACATTCTCTTCGAGAAAAATTTTACATGAAATATGTAGTACACATGTACTATATAATATAAAAAGTAAAATCTTCTAAGAGGACGTTTTAAAGTGTAGCCTTAGATAGAATCGGCGTATAATAATTATCAAAAGTGTCATTGGCGCCTCTAAAGTACCGTTATCGCCAACTGTTATCGCTATCTCGTGCGCACAATGCTGGCCGGAACGATCATGACGATGCAGAGATCTTGTATGTTGTAAATATAAATAAAGTCTCACTGGCGACAGGTACAGTTGCACAAATTCGCAGGTCAAATGATCTCGATATTTTAATTCGTCACAGGCTCAAAGGAAGATCGGATTATGATAGAAGACAAGTGTCGTTCTCTCACCTATGGATGCGTTAGGAGATTTTCTCACTTGCTCAACCAAACGTCATGTTGACACATTCAACTTCAACACGGACTTCAGTCGATATTCAAAATTCACAAGAAAAAGCCCGTTCTTCATAAAACGGATATCGCAAGAGCCCTAGCCAAGTCACGCTAATTACAACCACCATTGCCATTCCTACATCCCGTATTCTACTTTTGCCCACACTACTCGCAAATCACACAGTGCCCTTCGTTCACCTTCTACCGTTCTACCTTCTATTAGAGAGAAATATAAGAGAGGACATGAGGTCTTTTTCCTGTAATCGCGAAATACTTTGCATACTACCGCCCTCTGAAGAAGTGGATGTCAACTACCAATCAGAATCCTTCTTTTCCTTCCACTTCACGGAAGAGAAGCATTTTGATTGGTTGATTCTTTTATCCATATGCAGGTGCCTTTTCACGAGCTGCTGAAACTGGCCGTTCCAAAAAAGGTCACGTGACGTAAGGCCGTAAAACGTAATAAGTAAGCGAATTGGCCAATCACAGTAGAGACCGTAAGGCCGGTAGCGAATCCAATGTTACAATTTCCTTACTGATTACGTCTTATGGCCTTATGCCCAGCTGCACACCAGCGCGATGTTCGTCGCGCGCGACACGCGATATCCAATGAGCGTCTAACTTTAGAATGAGAACATCGGTAAAGTTGTACGCTGATTGGATATCGCGCGTCGTGCTCGACGAACATCGCGCTGGTGTGCAAGAGCCATTACGTTTTTCTATGTGTTTCTGGCTTAACTGTCGATAGACGTCGTACGCAGCGTGAATCCTACATAAGGATATGTAGTAATGGGCGCGTTCAGTGGACTCAACAGTTGTTGAGTGAGCGCTCGCTGTTATTGGTGTATTTTTTTAGATCATCCAATCAAAATTTTTAATCTAGAAGAATGCACCAATAATAGCGAGCGCTCATTCAACTGTTGAGTCCACTGAACGCGCCCATTGAGCTACCGCTCGCCGCTCACCGCTGCGCCACTCTGGATGCTTTCTATGCTGACGCTCGATACTCATTTTTAGTATGTTTGGTATCAAAACAATTAAAAAAAAAATTACATAAAAACTGACGAATATCAAGCGTCAATTTTGATCATGTGACCTATTTTTATTATTATTTGACATTAAAAATGAGCGTCGAGCGTCAATATGAAAAGGCACCTTTACGCGTCGCCGTTGTCGTGACGACGTCGCCGGATGTTGGTATGTTCATTTGTGTGAGGCTTGAGTTCGGCGTTTCCTGTCTGAGACGAAATTGGCTCTATATATATATATAACTGGCTTCGGAGTCCGGCCTCTGCTAGCATACGCCATATTATTGTCTCGTGTCTACGAGGATACGTATCTACAAATTTGAGTATCTTCATCTTTGTACGATACAAATCCACTTTTTGAGATACATCGGCGATGAGCGATATCGAGGTAAGTACAAAAATGTTACAGATTTCTGTGTAACTCTTACATAAGTTGCGATATATAATGTAATAAGATAACGCGATTCGGCATAGCTGAGTTATCGATCCAGCGACGCAGTTCTACTTCCAGCCATTATTACTCCCTACGCAACGTACGCAATAACTTGACACGCTCCTTTCGCTTCCGTTAATCGCGAAGTATCTTTTGGAGTAAAGTGAAATAAAACAAAAAAGAATTCCCGATTATATATATTTTCTCCTATGATAGTAATCTCGGCGAAAAAACTTTATAAGGTTATAAACGTGAAAAGCTGAATGGCGATTGGTTGATTATGTTCATATGTTATTAGAATGTATTGTTACCGTTGGTAGTGTTCGCTGTAAAGATAATTGAATAATGATATATTATATTGCTCTTTTGCTGATTATGACTGAAAAGTGGTCTTTAAGTTGCTAAGAAGAAGAAAATTTCATTTCTCTACAATCAGTTATTACATTGAAATTACATTTTTAAATTATTACATAATTTAATGATCACACACATTAAAATTTTTCTTGTTTTTTTTGGGTTGTATTTATAATGTGTGTATGTATCTTGGCTAGATTTATATACACAAATATATTATGATAAAATTATTTTAAGAAAAACTTTATTTAATCTAAAGTTCAATCTACTAAAAAGTTTAGTCTTTACTGTCTTGTGATATATTTGTTTACATAGAGAATTATCAAATCGATCATATTTTGAAGAATTGTCTTTTGAACTAAATTTGTATTATTATTGAAAAACTTTATTTCGTCCATGGAATAATCGAGCATTCCAGTATTTCTTATCTACACAGATTCATTTTAAGTTTTAATTTTATTTGTTATAAGAAAAAATAAAATATTAAAGAATGTATTTATGGTTTAAATATTTGAATATACATAAATTAATGTATTATGGACTTTCTATGATAAGCTATAACCTTAGCTCTAAGCCACAAGAAATTGATCAATTATAAATGATTATTCTCTTATATATGACTGTGATTGTGACCAGTTTCTTATGGTTTAAGACTTAAAGCTTAAATTATGGCTTATTGTAAAAATTATATTTATTGAAATACTCTAATACCTTTTTTCATTTCTCATGACATTTCATATGTGCTACATGGAATGTATTGTAACTAATGGACTTATAAGCAATTATAAGAATTAATGAATTAAAGAAATATAAAGACATATTTATATTTTATGTCTTTAATATTTAACTTCTCAAACCATTAAGGAAAAGTTCAATTATTTTAGTTATTTTCTTACGTAATGATAATTCAGTTTTTGAATCTATGTGAAGCTATACGATATAATTTATAGTAATGGTTGTTTGTAATTTCCAGAGAAGTGGTAGTCGTAGCGCAAGTCCCCGCCGACCACGAACTGCAGACGGTGGCCTAAGAGATTCACGATCACACTCGAGATCGCGTAAGTCCCGCGAGCGGAAAGACAGAGAGGTCAAATATTCGAGGTCGCGTAGTCGCTCCGCGTCACGTGGCCGGAAATCGTATCGCGGCAGCAAGTATACCAGTGTTGGTCATCGTAACAGCCGCAGTCGAAGTCGTTCACCATACCGCGGTGGTCGTTACTCTCGTAGTAGATCACGCTCATATTCACGATCGCGATACTCTCGTGATCGACACGTGTATCGTTCACATTCGCGCAGCCCAATGTCATCTAGACGACGACACATCGGCAACCGAGACAATCCTTGTCCTTCCCGCTGCTTAGGTGTTTTTGGACTCTCCATTTTCACGACTGAACAGCAAATTCAACATATATTTTCGAAGTATGGTCCAGTAGAACGTGTACAGGTCGTTATTGATGCAAAGGTATGTAAAATTGATGTATATTTATTATGTATGTATACATATTAACATGTTCCATACCAAGCCAATTTTAAGTAATTTAACCACTGCATAGATCACTGATGACTTGTAATATTTCTGTTTGTATTTGTTATAATTTGTTAAGTAACATGCATTTTGTAATGGTAAAAAAATTATACAAAGATTATAAAGTAGTAAGTCTAATGTATCAATATTGCAACATATAATTATATATCCATGTATGAAGTGTAAAATTATTTCATAATTGTTTCTTTTTATAGCCAAATTATCAAACGGTTTTTGATAATTAAATGGAAAATTCAGTGTAACTCGCGCAACATGAAATGCGTTTAAGGTCTGTTCTTTATCAGTTCATTGAACTGCACTAAAACTTTCTTTTCCACTTTCACTATAAATACTTCAATATGTCTATTTTAAGTACACTGGATGTATATTAGTTTAGCTATAAAGAACAGACCTTAAATGCATTTCATGCTGCGCAAGTTACACTGAATTTTCCATTCAGTTAGATAGTATGCAATAGTCCGTTATTCCCCAAGTATTTATACTGGGGGACAGTAAAATTATGCCAGAGATTTAGAACGTTCATACTTAAAGAACACATGAGACGTTAAAGGCTTCTGGCTACAGTTACATATAGATACAAGTCTATATGAATTAAAAATCAGTTTAGTATTAGCGCGATTTAATGGCGACACATGTATTTCAGACTGGACGTTCAAGAGGATTTTGCTTTGTATATTTTGACTCATCCGAGGATGCCAAAGTGGCTAAAGAGCAATGTACCGGCATGGAAATCGACGGGAGACGAATTCGAGTAGACTTCTCTATCACACAACGTGCCCACACTCCTACTCCAGGCATATACATGGGAAAGCCTACACATCTGCATGACAGAAGCTGGGACGCACCGAGGCGTAGAGAGTAAGTCTTATCTATTCCTAAAACAATACACATGTGTCTCAAAAAGACAATTGATACATATTACATATTCTTTTATTTGTCCTTTTTTAATACGGGTAACAATAGGGTCAGCTACAGAGGAAGTTATCGTCGCTCACCCAGCCCATACTACAATCGCCGACGTTCACGTTACGACCGTTCTAGATCGCGCTCCTATTCACCGCGTAAGTATAATTTCCTTTAATTTACGTTGTAATATAAGCTGTCTACATGGATATGTGTCTCATTCCTGTATTACGTTAAAAACACACGATGGTTGTGAAAACATATCTATAAAACTGCAAATTATCTAACAAAACTTCATATTTTCATAATTTATTGCACAACCGTGTTTATTGTATTGTTGTTTCTCTTCACTTGTTTATTTTACCGAACACTACAGGAAAATATTGGAGAAAAACTTCGCATGTTTTATGACGTTTATTTTTCTGGAGAAAGACAACTTGTCGTCATCTCGCTCTGTTATGGCCTTTTGTCGTGTCATGTATATGTATAATATAATATGTTAATTAATTGCTTTTTTGAAGATAGAAAATTATGAAATCTAAAAGAAATTAATATATTGCATTAGATATTAAAAAAACAATTCTGTTTTATATCAATGCTGCTGCTTATTATACGAATGATATAAAGATGATTTTGCACATATTTTATTACATTAAATAAAAATTGACAGCAATTTATGTAATATTTCTTCTGGATTCATATTTTCGTAGACCGCTTATATTTCTAATTAAAACTGTAATGTCAGTTGGATTGCAAAGTAAGTATTAAAGTTAGCAAGAAAAACAGCAGAAGAGGGCATCAGAGAAATGCGCTTGATAAATCGTACGGTAGTAGCTAAGCAGCAATCCATAACTTGCGTAAAACAATCATGGTTTTTTGTTGCTTAATGAATTTCAGGTCGATATTAAATCAGAAGTGATGCGAGGCCAGGTCCTTTCGGCAGTCCAATGACTTTGACCCAAATATTTCTTCAACGGGTCAAAATTATGAAATTAACGAAATCGCATTATATTACTATTCTTACCTTACCCAGTTCTGCATCGTATGCGAACAATCTCGCAAGCGTCTAAATTATAATACTATAACAATATTGTTAAGATTATGGATTGAAAAAAATATAAAATGTAGCGGAATAGCATACTGCACGAAAACCAGTAAGGTTAGAATAGATGTAAAACCTTATTTTCATAAGTTTATAAATTTATATTGCTTCCTTTTATGAAGATAAGGTTTCAATTGTGTAAAAATACAAGGCTATAATGTAAAAGCTGGAATATAATTGAGCGCTCGATAATGCAATTAGTTTTTAGCTTGCAGTTGTATTCCAGCCATTGGATAGAATCTTTTAAAAAAAATGTGAAAATTCTTAAAAAAAAAAAATAAAGTAAACCTAAATAAATAAAGAAAGCAAGAAAACGAAAAAATTCATAAAAAAAAATTCGAATAAAAGTAAGTTCTCTAACCTATTTGTTTGTTTATAAGGTTTTGAATCAAGAGGTATTGGATGATAGAGGGAAGTTTGAAGTTTCACTCTGAAAAAATGAGTTTTGAAAAGTCGAAGACAAGATATTTGAAGAACACGTTTATCTTGCTCACATTGTCAAGAGTCAGAAGGTTTTGTCGGTTGCTTGTGACAAAGAATATGATCTGCAATTCATTTCCGGCTGAGAAGCCTCAAGCCTAGAAGAAAACTTCAAGTATTGCAAGCCCGAAGACAGAATCGAGTTGATCGTCAAACCCCCGACCGGGACGAAGTTATTTGGTTGGGGGTGAAAAACAGGGCCGAAAGTGTTTCCGAAAATATTGAAGAAGTTCATCGAATATCTTTCATAGAATAGGGACGAGCGTAAGGTGCTCCCAGACCTTTATATCGATCATATTCTTTATCAGTTGGTTTGGTTGCCACACGCCATTTTATTCGCTCTAGAGAATTGCATATATATACATATGCTTATATGCAAAAACCTCTATATATGCATATGTGGAAATAAAGATAAAAGTTCGTACACTTCCTTTATCACATCCTCTCCCTCCACCATCCTGAGACCTCGGTTTCCTTCAACAAGACCTCGTATTATTATGAATTTTACCTATCTACTAATAACTAATAGAACTTCATCATAGCAATTTATCAATAAATGTTTCTGCCTCGCTCGACATTGGTCCCTCTCTTTTTTGTGGTTTTTTTTTCTACATTGCGGAGTTTGGTGCGTATATAATACACAAGTCGCTTTTTACTTTAGGGCAAAAGTAATATTGCGGATCGATTGACCCTTTCCAATACCCTGCGTATTATTATTATTATTATTATCATTATTATTATTATTATTGCCTTTGCAAATTTTTAGGTCTTAAATTTGTAGAAGTATGTAATGGAGGTACATTTGTCGGGATTTTATCTGAAAAAATGCTAATAAAGTCAGCTTCCAGAAAAAAAAGTTTGGCTTTTGGATTTTTCAATTCCCATGGATCGCTACTTGTTTCTACAGAACTTTGTATTTACATCGATAATTGCATTCGTTGGTACTTGACATCGTAATTCAGTTCTTCACATTCTGAAGCTAAAAACTCGATCGCGATCGTTCAATAAGTCCAATGGCCGTAATCGATAGGTATCTCTAGAGATTAACTCAAGTTAAGTGATTATCTGCACGACTGGATAAAGGAACGATCGATTGGGAAAATGCTCAACAATTGAGACGCAAACTGTCAATATTTATACTTTAGTAAATATCAACCCTTGAATTTATGTACAATTTTAGATTTATTATTTCTCGCAGTTCATCTAAATTTTAACTCATATTTAGCATATCTCTAGTATATCTCTCATGTTTATGAATCTAATAAACTTGTGTCTATTGTGGTTTTGAGACAAATTATGATAAATAGATTTTGAGGTAGATTCTTGGATCCTTGATCTTACGGGTCGCAAGTATTTTATAGATGTAGAACTGTCTGCAATTTATATTTGATTAATTGAATAACAGTTTAACGATTGCAATCAAGTTTAATAAAATACCAACCATTGAGACAGAATCTAAATAATATGTATAAAAATAGACTTGGAAAATTATCAATCTTCGCAGCTGATAATATACTTTTCTTACCTTTTGCAATTTTATTTAAAAAATGTATGGATATATTTAAATAACGATAAAAGATAAATCTATTATTTTCGGAAAAACGACAGTAAAAAAAATGTTACAAGCTAATTTTTACATTATTTTCCTATTGAGTAATTTTATTGAAATATTTATGTGAAAATAGAAATTGGTTCGCGCATTTTAGTAAAAATTGTATAGTTTATCAGTTTTTTTTTATCTTTTCAACATGAAAAGGAAATAGGAAAGAAACAGTGCAAATATTCAGTTAAAAAAAAAAGGTATCAATTATGAACATTTTTTTACTAAAAACAAAAGTGTGAAAAATGACAATTAAACTAGTATCAATTGAACCGAAATTAAAATTACATTGGTGGAAATAAGCATTAATTATTAGAATTTGTTCGTCAATATACATTTCTATTTTTAAATTCGATTTGAGTGAAAAATATCGAGAAAGTGAATCGTCGAGATCGAGAGTCGAACATCGATCGATCTATCGTCTGTTTATGGCACGTAGCACATGCGCATTTTGATTTCTAAACGTAAACACAAAACGCAGAACGGCAGAACACCTTAGCGTATATTTACGATTTCGCGTGAATAAGGTAGGACGAGTTCTCGAAGATGCAAAAGACGAAAAAGAAAAGCAAATCGCAGCAACGACCTTCTTCAGCAACAACCATTGCCGACTATGCGGAATCGCCGACGGATGAGGTCGATGAGGATGTGGAAGAAGGCAAGGACTTTGGCATCCTCATAAACGCGCCGCTCTCGAAAGGTGGGCATTTCGTCTTTAAGTCGGAGAAAGCCTGGACCATCGACTCGTCGCAATATTCAGAGTTCTTCACTTTGAACCTGAAAGCGCTGTCAGCCGCGATCGACTGCGTTCCATTCAAGGAGTATGTTGATGTGACTGATAAATACTTTGTAGTAAGTACTCAAAAAATACATATTTGAGGTACAAGAGATACTCGTGAAGTTTATTTTTTGTTACTGCATCAGAAGTTTTCTTTTCGCTTTTGTCAAACATTTCTCTATAATCGCGATCGACATAAGTTTCATTTTATCTTTGTTATTTATCGAATACTAAGTAGGATAGAACGATGTTTGTATTGATTTGATGTTTGTGTCAATTGTGTCTCCCGAAAGGAAAGCAACCATAGATACCTATTTCACTTTAAGTGCAAAAATTATCTATACATTAGTTTAATTATAAAAAAAAAACAGACCTAAGAACGTAGAGTGTATAAAATTTGACTCAAATTATGATAATATATCTCTATAAAAAAAATAACCAATTCGATAATTTGTATTAATTTTAGAGCGATCAATTGACAAGTATGTTTAATGATGCTGAGAAAGGCAAGGCAGCTTATAACATGATTTTAAATGATCTAAGTGCATCGAATTTATCAGACACCAAAGGTGGAAGCAAGGAGAACACGAGAATTGATCAATCGCAAAATGTGGATTCGATAACGAATGTGAAATCAGAAGACAGTATTGACGACTTAGAGGAAGATTTAGATTTTTTGTTATCCCTAAAGGAACCTGTTCAAAGCACTGTAATCTCACAGCCTGTGATAGGAATCTCACTATCTACATCTCATAATACTGGTAAGGTCTTAACATTAAAACAGTATTTAAAACATTTTATTTAGTTTAATTTTTGGGATTTTTTGTTTTGAAGTCAAATTTTCATCTCAGAAAAAACAATTATAAATATAATGCAATTTGTAATCAGACTAATTTTTTGAAATCTGACAAATATAAGGGATTTATATAGATATTTATTGATAATTTTGTTACAGATTCTAAAACGAAGTTGAAGAGTGTTCCAAATAAGCCTATTGATTTAGAAAAATGGTTAGATTCTGTTTTAGACGATTAATTCTTTTTTGTACTTTTTGTTAAAATACGTTATATATAAACAAAAATTTAAGACTAAAAGCAATGGAAAAGAAAGATCATGTAAAATTGTTAACAGTTCATTTATTTAAAACATGTAAAGAATTATATTTTTATAAAATTATATGAATTTTTATTTTGTTTTTACTGGTAAAAAATATACTTTATATATACATATATAATAATGTATATATACATAAATCTCAAATGCAATTTGAAAGATTCTTATAGCTACCTCACAGCTTCTTGAAATGCAGTGTAAATGTATTAGTCTATCAACTTTTTTGTAAGAAATGCATGCATGTAGTCATATACTACAAGCATAATGGCACCACCTGGACCTAATCTCAACACCTTTGGCACCAAGCCTTTGTACAAGGCTCTAAATCTAGAACAACAGTTACATGAGTGAATAATCTCGAGCTCGAGTACAATCATATCGGTAAGTAAAAAATGTATATGAATACCCTTCTCTCTTGTAAATAATGTGCATGGTGTTCAGTGTTCCTTTGTATTGCGTACCATCTTGTGAACCTTGAATGCGACTTTTAGCAACATCAAATGGTATATTTAAACAAGAAGCGACAGTACCTGATACGAATCCTATAGCAACCTGAAAAATTTTCAATATATATTACGTACTGAGGATTGCTTTGTATATTTTGTCTTGTGTTTCACACAAAACTGAATAATTACTTTATTTAAAAATTCCAACCAAGGTTCTTTTTGGACTAGTACATGTCCTTTAACAGAATGATAAAAACCAAAATAAAAAGAATTGAAAACCGCGTTTCTCATTATAGTGGCTGAAAGTCCTTTGTTTAGACCATTTAATCCAAAACCATATTTTGAAATTATTTCTTTCGTCACTGCGAATGTCGACGGACTTTCTTTGACATGCTTTCGATTAGATTGTAATTTTACTTTGACCATTTCAAAAGGATTAACTAATATAGCCTCAGTAAAACCAGCAAAGAAACCAGCACATGAAAATGTCTGTAATTATACAACTTTTTTTTTATCTTGTATTGTAAAATAATCAGTTAATAATTATAATAATCGTATTAGAGTAATTACCAACGGAGTGGGTGCACTAGCGCCGAATAAGAAAAACTGTTTATATTGTTCAAATGTAAAAAACTAAAAGAAAGATAAAGTTTTTATAAATAAAATAAAAATAATTTTTGTAAATATATAAATATAAATAAATGCGCAGATTTTTTCCTGCACTTTTATTAAGCAATAAATTTACTTTAACTGCACGTTTCGGAGTTTCTACAAGTATCGGAGGTAAAATTCCCTTCCAAAATGCTGGTAGCCCTTCAATCTTATACATTTTAGTCATGCAATCACGAATTCCTATAATAATATTAATATAGTTAATGCATAATGATACTATAAATGTCTTGATACACAAAATACCTGTATAATATAATGGATCTGATTTTGTTGTCTTCACTTGGAGCTGAAAACGTGTTTTAACGAGATCCATTGGATGCATTATACAAACTTCAATAAAACCTGCTGATCCTCCAGCACCAATCTGGATGGCAGCCTCTTTGAGAAGATTATCCGTGGTATTGCGCGTCATTTTTGCACTTTTTGTTTAAACGAATTATTTGATTAATATAAAAAATTGAAAGAGTAATCCAAGTACTTATATTTTTTTACGTTAATGTAATATGTGTACTTTGTATTATTTTCGCTTCTTACAGGTTGCATCTGAAAATAAATAATTTAAATTTCTTTCACTGTTAAATAGTTATGAAAAACTATAAAAGATATATATTATACTGTAAGAAATGGTGAATCTAAAATGACATAGCATTTTTTGTATTCTTATTCTTACTAGCTTGGTTTAACGGATTAAGTTAGAGTGACATACTATCTTATCTAGTACAGATTTCAGAAAAATGTTAATGTACATATATTGATTGCACTTTTGCTACTTAAATTAAAACTTTGTTTTCACAGCTAACAACACGTTATTATATCTTTATAAAAGATGTGTCAGAGTAATCCATACTGCGTATAAGAGATCTGGAGAACACCACGACCTAAAAATATGTTTGTTGAGTTAGGGCCTATTTTTAGATCTTACAATCAGAAAAGAATTCTAACCTTCAATTCAGTGATTAATACTTGCTCGCATAAGATTTGTACAAATTTTTATTTGCAAATATATCCAAAACTAATTTACATTAAAGCGTTGAATGCAGTATTAAATGCTCTTTACTTGATATAAATAATACATAGTAAAATTGTATTTGTCTCTTGTATAGCTTTTTGCAATATTAAAATTCATATAAATTAAATTCTAAGATTACACATTTACATAAAATAAAAATTGAATATCAGCAAAACCATTGAATAACTATTTCTAACTTCTGTTTACATAATATGCAAAATTTTTTATATAAAAATTATTAATTTATATATGTATATATATATATATACACACACGCAGGGTATTTGGCAACAGGTGGGAGAAGATTTAAAGAATGATTGTACATATAGATAAATCTAACATAAAAATTAAGAAGCCAAAAGTAACAAAATTGTGATTAAAGCTTCGTTTTTGTAATTATAAACGTTTAAATATTCATGTAAGGGTGTCGTAAAGTATGTGAATATTGAAATATTTATAACTAAAAAACGAAGCAACCACCATATAATTTTGTTATTATATACATAAATTATTATTGTATATATAAATCATATCATAGACATATATGTATATAGATTCTTTTATTTTGATAAATATATGTATTATACTATCTCGATACATTTTACTGTTATAAACATTTCAATATTATATTTTATCTATGTATATATGTAAAATATATGCAGACTTTTCTAAAGTAGGAAAACGTGTACTGTTACGAGCGCAACTTGTAATAATGAGAAAAGGTTTAACGACTGTCTTTTGACCAAGCTTTATTCAACGGTGTTACAAGCAAACTTACAGATTAGCGAGCTAAGATTGATGACGAGAGTACGGCTTACGAAATTAGACTAAAACTCGAACTGAACTAGAAGGATCTTTTTATTGACTAAAGAGGTGGAGTCTTCTATCAGCTCCAACCAATAACGTAAGATTTTAAAGTACCAAAAATATACGTAAAAGGGATAAGGAAAACCTGGAAGTTACGATGACTCAAGAGTCCGTTAAAGATGAGTCATAAAATAAGTTAGACATGTACCCCTTTTTTGCCTATAATTCTAAAAACATCGTAAAACTGAATATTCGAAAGAAGTTTTCAAAAAGGAAATATTCAAAAAGATTAAATTGAAAGGAAAATAAAAGGACAAAAGGGAAAGGAAAGCAATTGGTGAAAGTAATAAAATAATGGCAAGGAACAATGTTTAGGGAAAAATACGTTGAAACTTTCTATGCATTAAAACGTGACAACAGTTACGTTGGACGTAACAATATACGCACGAAATGATATAATACTAACTGACTTTAAGTTAGTAACCCAAAAACAATGAAAAATGTCTAAAATCGGATCATAAAACATTTTTACGTCTAAGAGACGACTTAAAGTATGTCTTATGCACTGAACCATATTAATGGAATTGGAACTTATGTCACAATTCTAAACTTTGTGTTGCTTGGGAAGTCTGTTCTCATTTCAAGGCCATTTTAATTACTTTAAAACGATAACACGATTCTGTGATTGGTTTATGACATCTTAAGATTGTACTTATGATGATAATAAATATAAAAATCAACTGTAAATATCGACCACACGGTCATCAATAAAAAAAAATGTCCTGTATGAGTCACATTTCAAGTTTAACGATTATTATAAAAAATTGAATGAGAAAATGGAATACATTCTTGCAAGGATTTATTTTAACGTTATTATTTAATTTGCGTAAACGTATTTCTGAAAGTTTGAATCCATTTCAAATATTTCAATCGATATCAATCCATTCTCGTTTACTGGAAAGGATTTGATTGTTTTATCACACAAAACCATGTGAGAATTACAGGAATGTGAGCGAATTTATTAAAATATTTATAACTTTATTGCTCGTTTTTGTAACTTTCATCCACAAACTTCTATATACATATATATGATATATATATATATATATATATGGTATATAGAAGTCTATTGTTTTTATTTCTCGTTTCAAGATAGACATAATCTATTAATTCCCACAACGAAAGTATATGTATATATACATGCGAATTTACTTACAATGATCATCAATCAATGCTTCGCACGCTCACAGACGGTTTAAAGTATGGGTTCGCACATATTATAACAATCAGTAAAAGGTAACAGATTTTACGATAAATTGATGACTCATTGCGACGAGTATGTCCGGGCGTTTGTTATCGGTTATCTAATCGTATTGCATAATTGTACAAACAAGGACTTTTCTTACGTTATTTGCGATAAGTATGCGATTATTAAAATTACCGGCACACGTAAGGAACCGAAACTCAAAGTCATTTTGTTGAATCGAATCTTCGATCTTTTTTCTCTTACAAATAAAAGAACCGTGGATCGTGACAAAGCGTCTTTTCATCTTTGCTGACCTTTTCGATCACGTGACGTGTTTATTATCTTCTGAAACACGCGCAACGACCAGTCAGCTGTATTTCTCTCTCTCTCTCTTTGTCTCTCTCTTTCTAATTACTATTTTAACGTTCACTGTTTTGACGCTTAGCGCTAAAATTACGTCTATTTCGATCGGCGTTCGATCTTTATAGTGATCTTTATAGATAGTTCGCCATGCACATTTGTCGCAGTCTGTCAAACGTTCGAAGTGGGAGCCTCCGAGACTCCGGATTATCGACCATTTCGTTCGCTCGCTCGCTCCTTCTCTAATCACCTTTGTACTCTCGGCGATCATTCGCGAATTGCCAGAGTATACTGCGTATAGCAGCGAGTCTCGCGACAGTCGCGAGGTATTATCGCGCCGTATCATATAATGACTTGTCGGCGCACGCAACATTAACCGTTCCCCGGTGAAGCGTCGTATTCACGGACGTGAAACTTGTGCCCGCCGAGCGAGCCGCACACCACTCTCGGTGACTCGGTAGTCTCTGTTGCCGCGCTATGACTGCTATACGGAACCTCGCGTGACGGTTCCCGATTCTTCATCTACAAGTCCATCGTTCTTTCTATCCCATACATCGTCATCATCGTCGTGGTCTACCGTCGTGTCGTTCGTCGAATAAAAACATGAGCGTGAGACGTCGAAAGGTGCGTATGGCTGATTACACACTTTATTATCAGATGATCTATCGGCGCGTTCGTCTCGTCGGAACGAGCGTCGGAGTGTCGGACGCGGAAGCGCATCTATCGCCGTGCCGCGTGTCTTCCGTGAGTGCGTTTTATACTTCACGCATGATCCGCACGACGTATATAATTTTATTCTTGTTATTCATACGGAGTTCACGGAATTATTAGAGAAGGATAAATAAATACATCAGGCGCGTCATATACGTAAAACCGAACGTCGTACTTGGTGAATTTGTGATGATTTGTGACGTGTACATGTGTGTGAGAGAGCGTGTATATAAATACGTTGCACGCGACCACGCGATATCCAGACGAGTTAGAATTTCGAATCATGCCTCTCGCATTTCGTGTGACTCCCGCCTCGTCACGTGATCGCTCCTCTCAATTGACACCCGGCTCCATTTGCTGTTCCCTCTTTTTCATTTTAGTACAAATCGACTCGTGTGTCGTTCTATCTTTATTTCTCCCTCGAATGCTAAGAAAGACAGAAGGATGTTTGTGTCGTATCACAAAGTACCTTATTTTGTTATCAAATGTTAACCTCTGAACTTTAAGTATATGTAGGTATATGACTACAGCACTTACAATATTATTTTGAAAATCTTGTTCTATAGAAGAGGAAAATATAATTGTGCTCAGAAGTCTTAACTATTTTTACATTCCTCTACCTTTTATGAAAATATAAATGTAACGTAAATTCAACTCTAAGGCCCACACGGTTAACTTTTCACGGTTTTCTTTTCAATTCTAAAATAAAAAAAGATAAAAGGAATAAGCCGATTTTACCTCTCTCTCGGTTAAGAGTTAACCATGAGTTGTGAAGCTCTCTGAGCCTAAATACTTCAAAAAATTAGTTATAAAAGTAAAACTTGCACTTGTTGTAAAAGTAATTAATTTAGGATGTTTTGAACACTCCACTTGGACCACAATGCGCAATTGCGTCTGACTTCTGAGGATGCAATGCACGTTGATGCACGCGCCACGCGGTAGCCACATCGGCGCCGCTCCCCCCCCCCCCGGCGTCGCGCGCCCACAAGCTCTGCGACTCCGTGTCTTATATTTATTTATTTTTTTTACATGACAAGCGCTCGTCACCCAGCGGATCATACGGGTCGCCCTAGATGCGATACACGCTCGTGAGTAGAAATGATGTAAAGAGCCTCCCTCACGTGACACATCCTCCTCATGCCTGTCGCGACATGCCCAGACTAGGTTAACATCGTCCGTTTTTCTTTCCTACGTCGTGACCTCGACAAATTAATTCGAACGACGATTGACCCAGGATGATCCTGACAAACTCTTAGTTAATTTGATTCACGATTAGTGTTGTTCCAGGTGAAATCTGTGATATTTGTTGCTAACCAAGAATGGCACGATGACTACTCTTTGTTATTCGATACGTAAAAAGGAAAGATTAAATATGAATTATATCAAAGTGACAGTGTTTATTTATTTTATTTGATTCTATATTATACAAATTTCATCGTGAGCACAATTGTGCCGATTGAATTGAATAAAAGTGAAGTTTGATCAAAGTCATTCTTGTCAATCTGGACTTGTGCTTGTATTAATGAAAGATTTTTTTTGTTGACATGTGGAAGGAAAGATTAAGAAAAAACAAATTGTACAATTAGAAATTTTACTATAAGCAATTCAGGCTGAATTAAATCAGTCGGATTTAAATCGATGTCATCTTTGGTAGAAAAGAAATCTCAGGAATTTATAATTAGAGATGGAAGTGTTACATTAGTATATACATTTGTAACTCTATCCTGAATTTGTTATAACAAAAGATTTATACATGGTTTCTTTAAAATAACTACAGTATCCTAAAAACAATATGTACTCAAGCATCAAAATGATGTTAAGATAAATCTTAAATATAATTAAAAAGTGGCTTTTAGTGATCATTTTATTTTTTAAGTCATTTTGAGGTTGGTGATTTGTGTTCTGCTTGAGTATATATTTCATTGTTGTGTCGGAATATTTCTGGAATGGAATTATATGCGATATACAAACAATTGGTATCACACAATTGAAAGTAACATAACATCAGTATTATAATTTCGTTTTTAATAATGAAGTATAATATTATGTAACACATAATGTATATAACATTATGTTATTTTTAATTGGTACTAACTGGAATGCAATGTGATGTAAAAGATATAAACTTTCTTATAATAATTGTCTTGTATTTTTAGCTGAGAACTGAAAATGAAGAGGAGCGCAATAATGAATTGGCATCCTACCAGAAGAAAATCATCGGTCAGCCGGGAAAGAAATACTTCACCATGCTAGTAGTACTTGGTACATTGTTCCTAGGTTACATAGCCATAGCGAATGACTTAAAGCCCATCAGAATAGGCAGTAAGGCTATCGATACCTTAGCACTTTCATTTAATTTACAAAAACCGTTCTATGTGGTCGTCATCGACGCTGGATCTACTGGTAGCCGTGTATTAGCGTTTAGCTTTCACGAGTCCATTCTCAATGGCAATTTAGTACTTGATAATGAACTATTCAAAGAAATAAAACCTGGCTTAAGCTCATTCGCCGACGAACCGGAGGACGCTGCAAAGTCTCTAACTACTCTTCTAAATGAGGCAAAGGCGGTGATTCCGCAGTCGGAATGGCCTCGCACACTGCTGACGATGAAGGCCACGGCAGGGTTGAGATTGTTGCCGGAGCATAAAGCCAACGATATACTAGAGGAATGCAGAAAGTTGTTTCAAACATCTGGATTCCAGATTGCGAGAAATTCTATCTCTATAATGGAAGGCACGGACGAGGGAATCTTTTCTTGGTTCACCGTCAATTTCTTATTGGACCGCTTTAACTCGCTCAGCTCTCAGACTACCGTGGCTGCGTTGGATCTTGGTGGTGGTTCTACGCAAATCACATTTCAGCCGGACAATATCCAGGCGAAAAAATTGGAAAAACACGTTTACTCCATCAATGTATTCAATCACAATATGAGTCTGTACACGCACAGTTACTTAGGCATGGGTCTAATGGCCGCCAGAAAGGCAATTTTGACTTATGACATGAATCTAGAGGCTACAAATCTTAAAGTTCCCATAGAGATACATTCCGAGTGCATCAATCCGATCGTATCTACCGAGTGGTCTTACCACGGACGTGATTACATTGTAAAAGGTCCAACAAATGGCACATATAAACTAGTAAAGACACAAAATTTTGCTGGCGGAGATGAAAACAAGCCGATCGTACGCTTTGCAGAATGTTTGAAGATTATTGAGAAATATGTTGGTACTCTCACAGAAAAACCAATAGGCTTAAAGGATCACGAAGTGTACGCGTTTTCGTACTACTTTGATCGTGCAACAGAGGTAAAGGTTCAAAAAGTTACAAAGTTTGAATAAGTATTAATATATTAATGCATATAAATATTTCATAAAATCATCTTTTCATTATATCTAATAATTTAATAAATAATAAAATAAGCTACGAATTTAACAATATAAACACACACAATATATAAAAAATTATAAATATATTTTAATTATATGAATATTTTTTTGAGGTATAATTTTATTTAATATTAAAGAGTTATACTTTTTTCCTAACATATAAATTATAAATATGAGAAATATGTTATTGCAGTAGTCAAAGTTTATGATCTACAAGTTAGAAAAAAAGTACAGCTCTTTAATATAAATATTACAATATTTATATTTGCAAATATAAATATTGTAATATGTAAATTATTGATTTTTCAGGTAGCATTAATAGATCCATTTTTGGGCGGAATGGTGCAATTGAGTTCGTTTTTTAAACAAGCCATGGAGACGTGCGATTATCCAAACACAGATCAACCGTTTATGTGTTTAGATTTGACATTTATTTATGTTCTGCTTAGAGATGGATTTGGCTTGGAACCGACGACTAAGCTACATGTAACCAAAAATTACATAATATAATATTTTTATCTTACGATAGTGTCTTCAAGGATAACAAAGTATTCTTAATTTTTATAGCTTTATAAGAAGATCAATGGCCATGAATTAAGTTGGGCACTGGGAGCTGCGTTCAATGTTCTCCAAAATGGACTTTGACGTTTTATTGTTCTATTATTTGTTAGTCGAGTTTTATTCTAAACTTATAATTGAAAAGACAAACCGAAGGAATATGCAGTTAAAGAAAAAAGAACATGTAAAAATATGTTTACATTTTTTGTATAAAAACTTTGGATTTTTAATGAAACATTTAATAGTAATTACTAACGCTCGCCGCACAATTGTCTAATCGTACAATTGTTTATTTAAACAACTCTCTTACAATTTAAATGCAAGCAGTATTTGATGTTTACTTTTTGAGGTATGAGTATATCTGAGTCTGTAGTGTTTTTAAGTATCAGCATTTTTATCTGAAACTATCTTATGAAAGACATATCGTCATATACATATTTTGGACAGTTTTTTAAAAATATTTGTAATTTGTTTTATTTCGATATGTATTTAATGATTTTTTATAATTCATTTTATCTGAATTTTAATCTTGTCAATCTTTCGGAAGATTAAAATCCAAATATTTACAATTAACACATTTCATTACAATGACGCAACGATGAAATTGATTTGCCTTAATCATTAGATCTATTTTCTGTGGCTGAACTATACTTTAATGTGAGATAGGTATATGTTTGATATTTGATAAAAGCGAGAAACAGAGTTTTTGCACAGTCCAGTGCAGAAATAAAAAACGAACTTATAAAAGTGCAATTCAGTAACTGTACAAAACGGTGCAACTACACGAATATATTTCTTGCGGCGGCACATCTTCTACAGAATCAAGTGAAACAGGAAAACTGTATCTCTTGACATATCTTGATGCATAAAAACTGCAATTATCATCGTAAATTTAGTACAAACAGATTTATCCCTGACGCTAACGTCTACCTGTTAAAAGATGCCAATGATGTACATAACATTCGATTTTTATATGTTGCATTGCGACGTTTTCTGATATTCCTTGATATCGCGTTCCTCGTATTTAACGTAAAGACCTCCCTACACGGTCAGTATTACTGACAGTATGCATTAGTTTTTACAATATTATACGATCAGGTATTATTGATAATATTTCACTTTAGTTTGACGTGATTTGACGTATATTATTATCTATGGCGACATGGATCTTAAGGAAAAAGCAACTGTGTATTTAAATCCAAATCATTGTCAGTATTCGTTGATACTGTCAGTATTACTGACCGTGTACAGAGGCCTAAACATGTCCAACAGCGCGATTTAACGAACTGTACACACATTGCATGTGTATAGATAGCAAATTGTTGATATAGTTCCGTATGATCAAACATTCTATATATTATTCTACATACCATGAAAGTGGAGACACACAATTTGCCTGTATGTAACATGTACATAGTGCCTTTCAAATGCTGTTTTTAAATAAAGCGAACATGTGTCACTACTCAACAGTGCGTGTCATCTACTTTCTATACATTCCATATTTATCGCACCTATTTTGTATTTTATATTATTTAATTTTTAATGTGTGGAAAAAAGGTGTTACGAAAAGTTTTTGCTGTGCTTGCAAAAAGTAAAATCATCACTTATAGTTTTTGAAGCGAAGGATTCGACAATGCCATGGTTAAAATTATATTATATGATGAGAATACATGAAAAATTCAGTTCTAAGGGGAAATGCGCGCAGTCATTCGCGAGACATTACTACACTACATGTGTCAGTGGTACACAGTATGTTGCATGTTTTGACATTACAAATGTAATTTTATAAAAATACTATGTAGTGAATATATTAGACTCGAAAAGTTTTTGTACGCTTGCATGAACATGTTGAGTTGACAATCTGCTCAAACTCAATTTTTCATGTGTTTCCGTCATACTCCTTGCCTTAAAAACTATAAGGAATGATATCAATTTTATCTTCCATAAGTATACAAAAATAAGTCTTCGTAATATCCTTCCTATATTTTAAAAATAACAATACAATTTTCGAGCTTTCAAGATATACTGAAAAAAATCTTAATTTCAAAAAAATGTTTCTTTGTTCGTACTCAAAACAAATTATTTCTTTAGTTTAGATCAATGAAAATTTTTTGGAAATTTTAAGATATTTTTTCAAAAAAAAAGTATTAAGCTTTTAATATTTAATTAACTGAATAATTATCAATTTTTTTTAATATGGTGATTGAAGTATTGCACATACATCTATTACAATTGCAGCGTTGATCAGCGTTCAAAACTTCAAAAGTAAGCTGCTTTCCTGACACTTTTTTGGTTCGATCAACATTTTAGGAAATATTAATAAAAAATTTTTTTAATAATTTTCAAGATGGTCTAAATATGTTCGATCGCCGAAAAATTCTCTCAGATTTGTATTGACGAAAATTAAATATTGTACATGGAGAAAACCAAATTTATATAAAGAAATCGGAAAAGGGGAGCTGATCTAAAAGTTTACCTTCTATTCTATATTATGAAGAAATATTTTACATGTATATAAACTCTTATAAATTCCTGACAATATAAATATCCATATTAACGTCTATGTATTGTATGTAAGTTTTGCATTACTGATGCGACACACTCTTGTGTGTCGCTAGATTATTATCACCGATATTTCCGTAGCGAACAAGAATGTAACTATATTTCCATAAAAGAGGAGGAAAGAGGGAAAGAAAAGGGTTTCAGTAAACCTCGATGCTCGCTAACGATAACACACACGTTCGAGGACGCACGAGGCATTATTATTGAGCATTAATAAGTCGGTGTGTTGAAAATACACGCGTTCAACTGCCACTCACCTATGTCCGTTACGTCAAAATAAATAGAGGCAATGCTTTATTCAAAAACCGGCCCACAGAATTTAATCTTTTCTTGAGAGGCTATAAAGAGAGATTACTGTCACTTGTCGTCAAAAACTCGTTCCAGAAGCCACAAGGATCATTTGAGACAACGGTTCTTCAGTTTTCTGCTCGCCGTAAAGTATATCTTTCATAGTGGTAGGATATATCAATCTTAACAGTAGGTTCCGTTCTTTTCTCGCTATCTTTATTCTTTGCGATTCTTATATGCATTTCTAAGTACTAATGTAGATTAATCTTCCGCAAACCACTTAACGGTGAGTCTGTTGGATTCGATTATATTCTTCATGTTATAGTTTATGTCATATCTGCAAATTTGAATTATTAAAATAAACTTATTAATATTTATATTCTTTTCTATATACGAGGTATGTCATTCCTTGAAAAATTAATGCCTTTTAATCAACTTAAATAATGTCATAAATATACACACCTTAATCTCAGCAAATGTGTTACAGATTTTGTTATCAACTTCGAGAAAATTAAATTAATTTTAATCTCGGTTCATTATACTCTTTACTATACCCATTTTAATTCTTAGAATTAGAAAAAATAAGTTAAACCGAGATTATAAGATCTACTTTTTTGGAGGAATGGACATTGACTTCGACCAAAGTTCGGTTAATCACCGATTACAACTTAACTAATTATTCTTAATCTAATTTTTTTTCTAAACAATAAAAAATTAACAAATTACATTCACGTTCGCAAAATGGGGTTTGTTTTTTTGTTCATGAACAGAGTACACACGGTGCAATAAGTTGAAGTAAAAATATACGTTTATTTTATATATATATTTTAACTTAGTTTATTTTTATTTTAACAGTGCGGAAACAAAAAAACAAACCTATACAAAGACAAGAGTATGCTCTTGCGCATATTTTCGAAAGCGCCAATCAGGGATTTTGTTCAAACTACGTCACATTGAGCGGCAAATTTGAACAACGATAATAAAGATACATATTAAGAAATTAACCAATCATAGAGTTGATTATTCTTCTATTCAACTGTGATTGATCAAAATTTGTGTTTCGGGATTAATTATAATTAATTGGAGCTCTCATTCATTCTTGAACTAGCCCGCGTGAAACAAGATTATCTGATTCCGAGTTTTCACCGCATGACATGTAAGCAACGTTCGATATATTACGAAGTCCATTCCTTTTAGCTAAACTTCTTGCACGGTCCTCTCTCTCTCTCATACATCTGTCTTCCTTTTGCCTCTTGATGTTCAAGAAAAAAGAAGAGAGGATAAACCTTGCAAGAAGTTTAGCAAGGTTTATAAATATGGCCAACAGGAGCATTTGTGCTCGGCGCTAAATATACGGAATACGAATATCAACGAATATGGGTCCCTCGGTTAAATGATCGTGTTCGTATTCCCCTCTTTTCATCTCCTTCACCGATATATGTATACGTATGTAATACGTACGTGCCTTACGTGCAATGGAGACTAACTTGATTTATCAGGGTCAACGATTGATTTGAAACAAGACTGATCTGCACTGATCTGGTCCCGCGACCCTCGGCTTGGCCTGATTCCGTAGATCGCAGATCCGCGTCTCTTCTACAGCGGAATCGAGAGCAGGAAATTAGGCCGCGCGGCCTCACACCTGAGGGATCCATATCACGCATTTTACGTCGCGCGGTATGTACTACACATCGATCAGAGGAACGCTCACGATAACTGTGTGCCACACAGATCTCAGTTCTTGACAAAATCCTGACTCTCCTGACAGTTAACGCGTTATGATAGGAGCGTGAAAAGTCAAAATCCGTGATTCCGTGCTGATAAATGAGCGTGTCCCCGAGGCTGCTGCTGACGAGCACCGCTTCTCTGCTAAACGTAGTATGTAACGCGCGGACGGCAACGTTTCCGCAATCGCGAAAGGTAAGCGTATCTCCCGCACAAACGTGGCTCTCGCGTTTCTTACCCCCCTCGCCGCGGTTGATTACCTTGTTTCGCTATTATGTGGCGTAATTTGGCGCGATATGGTTATTGTTAGGTTAGAACGCCGACCTTTTCTCGAGAAAGGTATCTTTTCCTCGACTGTAAATGCATGACTCAGAAATTTAAAAAATGTACGGTTTTACGAAATTCAGTTAACGAATAATATTTTTTTTATCTTATACGTTTCCTTTTTCCATATTTTTGAACTGTGCTTCAATATACTTTGCTATTGCTGAAAACATAGTTCATATATTACATATACATTAGATTTTTAATACTGACATTGTATATTGGAAGGTTGATCATGTTTAGTCTTATGTTTATAATTTTGGTCATCATATGATTTCTTCCAGATCTTTACACTAGAACCAACTTGGCAACAAATACTAGAAAATTTGTGTAAGAGCCCTAGCTGGAAAGCTTTGATCTCCAATTGCTTAGAGCTCGCTGTCTCTATGGATAATTCTCCATCCCATCAAAAGTCAAAAGTCCATATGGAACCTTACTTTGACACATGCTACAGCCAAAGCAATAACACTACAATGTGCGATCTAACGAATACATTGATCTATTGTCATACTAGTTTTACAGAGGCAACACATAATGTTAAAGCTAACATATGTACAGCTGACACTAAGTATGGAACTTACATAGACAAACAGAGATACAAGACGATAAGGAAGTGGAAACGCATCGAGAAAGGTAAAAATCACTATCTTGTTTAAATATTACATTTTTAAATGGATGTATAAATATATATAATATTATTTACTGAGCACAGTTTGTAAAATGGGAAAATGTATTTATAAAAAAAAATTACCTAGAAATATTAGGCACGAGATGCAGTCTTGACTGTATAGGATGTTTCTTTGCTCATATTCACATATTTGTCCAGATTCACTTGTTATTTACCTAATTGTTCTTTTCGCCCAAAGAACATGATTTTTCAAACATTTTTAGATAGATCATCCAATAATATGGAAGATTTTTTTATATTGAAACTATTATCCTTTAATATCTTGGCACAAAACCTGTTGGAAGATCACTCGTATCTATACATGGATCATAACAAGAAAGCCCTGAATTGGAAAACACGAAAATCCCTTGTGATACAAGAAATATTTGAAGCAGAGGCAAATGTACATACCTATTCTTGGGCATTTAATACTGTTAAACCTCTGAAATGAGAAGCTTTAAAGAATATGTGCTATTATATTATCGAATATTCCAGGTAATATGCCTTCAGGAAATGCAGGAGGAACACCTATTAGATTTCGTGGCTCCGTTCAAACATCATGGATATGACTATCTGTATAAAAAGAGAACCAATGACAAGAAGGATGGCTTACTTTTGTTATATCGCTCCGATGAATTTATTTTGTTAGATTACGCAAAGGTGGAGTTATATCAATCCGGTATTGAGATCTTAAATAGAGACAACGTCGGTATAATCGCTAAACTAGCCCTCAAAGACAATCCAGAAACGCAAATCGTTGTAGCCACTACTCATTTGTTATATAATCCGAAACGCAATGATGTACGATTGGCGCAAATACAGCTTTTGTTAGCGGAAATAGAACGAATTGCATTCGTCGAGAACGCGACGTGAGGGCACGCTTTAGTAAAATTATTCGTTCATCGTGTCTGGTGGTAAGGGATCTTTATGTAAATATTAAATATTTATAAAATCACTTTGCAGAACGGGCCCGAAGTATTTACCAATCATACTCGCAGGCGACTTCAATTTGGAGCCGTTCACGGGCGTTTACAAGTTCCTAACAGAAGGTTCGTTCAAGTATTATGGGAAAGGACGAAGTTTAGAACCGTCTCAATATCGTTCTCTGTCAAATTCATTAATACCACCGCGATTATGCGTCACCGACAATTGTCAACATTTTAATATCCTGACACAAAGACTGCGAAGAGAAGGCACCGGTAAAGTCATGGTATGTGTGTTCTTGAACATATAACAATTCCCATACAGAAGCTTGCAACAATATTGTAATGTTAATGCAACATTGTTAGGACGTTGAAAATGTTATTGTAATATTGCTAGAATGGATCTGTACTGTATGGAGTATGGATGTATGTAATATCTTAATTTTTTTATTAAATTTATATACAAAGCGTGACGGGATGATTTATTTATGATTATAAATTAATGTATATATGTTTATTTACATTTGATGAAGATCTGATGAATTTACAGCTGATGAAGACTTAATGAAGTTGAAATGTACGGTTTAGAGATTATAACAAAGATTAGAATAAATTAATAACTTTGAAATAAGCTCGTTTTAAATCTCTGACCTGGGTGTTTATATTATGAATTGTTGTTCTTGTACGAGCGAAATAAGTGATTAACACTAATTATTTACTAATATTAATTTTTTTATCTATTTAAAAATTTATTTTGATTAATATTTCGATGAATGCCATTAATTTATGCTCATGTCTGAAGTTTTTCGAAAAGAGAAATAAGAGAGAAAAAGATTCCAAAAATAGTGTACTTTAAGTTTACATTTCATGTGTGTATTCTGTTATTTTTCTCCAATGTTTTAATCTTTTCTTCTAATGTATTTAAAGTTTCTCTATTCAAAAATTTCTTCCAGCTGGAAAATAGCGAATCAAGCCTTCAAAAACGAGACGAAAATATGTCCACACCTTGTAATACGACTGTGTTACAACAGAGCGCGAACAGTGACATCGATTGCACACAAGTTATCGAGATTGTGAAAGGTCATTCCGCAAGATTTTCGTCTGGCACTCTAACGCATCCCTTTAAAATGCGTAGCATTTATACGCACAAAGGTGCTCATGATGAGAAAGAAGCAACCACGCATCAGGACAAGTGGATAACAGTGGATTATATATTCTACAGCAACATCCAACCTTTAAAGAAATACGCTTTACCTACAGTAAGTCAATGTGCCGCGTTACCTAGAATACCAAATTTTATAATAGGTAGCGATCATTTATGTATAGGTGCAACCTTTCAGTTACCGAAAAAAAAATCTCTACTTTAAAATTAGATAACTTTTCATGTATATATTATCTTCTCGATATATTAAAATCAAATATTTCAATACAAAATAAATTGATACCGATACAACGTTGGTCGTAAATGTAAGCACCTCCAATATCTTACATTTTCTTGGAAAAAACGATAATAATAAAATCTGAATGAAAACCTAATAAAATGCTAAAATTGTTATAAAAATAAATATAATTTTATATTTTTTAATTAAAACTTTACATTTATTTTTTTACGTTTAAATAAAATATTTACATTAATTTGTGGAGGTGCTTTTTGACCAAGGTTGTAATTATGTTAAACATTTTTGTTGAGTAGAATCTAAAAGAAAAATATTATCTATACTTCTAATTATCTAAAATAAATAAAATTGCAAATTTTATATATACTTTGATTTATAAAAGTTGCAAATTTGCTATAGTATATCTTTTGTGTATATGATACATTCAAAAAAACTACAGAAATGTAATTCCCTTTTTTAGTTTTTAACTTTTTTGTCGATAAATGAATAATTATTTTAAACTTGATTTTTTTTAATTCTTTCGATGACAGGGTTGCCACAAGTCAGGAAAGTTAGGGAAATGTCAGAGAATTTAAAAATGCGTCAGTAAAGTCAGGAAAAATCAGGGATTTAGCACACTTGTCAGGAAAAATGAAACAGCTGTAAAGAAATTTATTTATATCACAGCGCCACAATATATTGATAAAAATCATTGATAATATCATTTCGCTTCGTTCTTCAAGCCAATTCGCCCGACAATTCTTTAGCTTTATGATTATTTGCCGTGATCTTGCGGTACTAATTCACTATTGTCTTGTACGTGTATGTTTTGTTATGACTAGCTTTTTTTTCGATTGTTGAAAAATATCTGCATCTCTCTCTCTCTCTCTCTCTCTCTCTCTCTCTCTCTCTCTCTCTCTCTCTCTCATTTAATTGTTGGATCAAAAAAATATTTAACATTTTCCATATTAGGATAAAAATACAAGAGACATTGCAAAAAAAATATGTATTATTCAAAGTCAGGAAAAATCTCAAAATTTTGTCAGTAAATCAGGGAAATGTCAGGAAATTTTAGGATTAAAAATTTGTGGTAACCCTGGATGGTAATTGAAAGATAAAATAAATGTTTTATCAAGATCTGTAGATAAGATTTTTGAAAATAACATCAAAATATATTGTTGTGCTAAGAAAATGTAAACTTAAAAATTTGTGTTAATTTTATTTAATATTGAAGAAACTGTATGTCACATATATACAATAGAACTGTGATGTAGTAACTATTGTATATGAACTATTGACATATAAAAAGATAGGTAAAATAAATAACTACAATTCTTTAAAATTTATATAATAAATAATAACGTGTATAGTGTACAAATTTTATATACAATAATAAGTAGAAAATATCTTCTCAGTAATAAAATTATATATAATTTTTATTGAAGTGTTGTTTATCTTATTAATCTACCTACTCTTTCCTCTATTATCTCTTTATGAAATTTCAACTGGGCTTATTTGCACAGTACCTTTGTATAGTTTTGGCTCTTCATATGCCACCACGCAGGTCTTGCCAACGAGATTATTTTCCTTGCGGATGGAACAATTTTCATGACAAAATTTTGCAAATTCCTTGAATCTCACTTGTAACTCTGTATCGCCGCCATTAGGACCAGCCAAGAATTCGCATTTTAGCAGATTTGCTTTTCCTTTTATACAACATTTCAAATATCTATAATCTGTCGTATATAACTCACTGATATTTTGAATTTTTATGTTTAGAGCATGTCTGAGGATACCGGTGACAAACACATCGTCTATCCAAAAGTAATCGTGGGAAGACTTAGCATAATCGATCAGTCGTTTTGCTACTTGTGGATACGTGATATACAACCAACCAGATACAAAGTCAGGATAAATACTATTTGCATATTCTGCCTTACTCACATACCATTTGTTGGTTGGTTCTCGAACGGGAATCATATTCTTCATAACGTAACCAGTCAAAGAATTCTCTTCTATCATACCTGAGTGTAATTTCTCTAATATGCCATATATATTTATGACGATGTCATCATCCATTTTTATAATATATTTAGCATCTTTGCAATTATTTGCTGCCCACTGAAGGCCCATCAGATGCTTGCGAGTTAAATTTCTATAAGTGTCTAAAAAATCTCCCTGAAGTAAGTCATTGAATCGTCGTGACTCGTCCAACAATGCATTTTGCGAAATATGTGTCTTCCTTTCGGCATAATCATTTAACGTACCAAGTAAAAATACTCTTCTGATTCCTAAAGCCTGCAATTCTTCATCTGTATAAGCTCGCCGTAAAGCGCTCCTCGCTGAAGGCTCACCCGCATAAGATGTAACAATCCATATCATAAAAGTAGTATTACACGGTGGCTCAATTATAACTCTAGAAATTCCTAATGGTGTGTCAGTTACCTCATATATTGTATAAAGCTGTATTAGGTTTGTTTTCTGAATCTCTTTCTTTGAACGTAAATCTTTCTCCATGAATATAATAAATAACAGAACACATCCTATGCAAATAAGCAGCAATAAGAATCCATACTTTGAAAGCATGTCTGCTTTGTGTTTACAACTGATTAATAATAAAAATAATAATGGAAATCATAATTTCGTGTATCACAGCATCTTTATATATTGGATCCTTATATATCTGCAGTTTATGTATTCCAAATTATTTTTGAAATTATGGTAGCTGTAAACGTTTGTTCTTCATTGTAGTCTCCACGGAAAAACATGTTTGTTAATATAATTTAAATCGATTAAATTACATTAAGCTAATTAAACAACATACCAAAAGTAGATAATTTCTTCTTGTTTTAAGAGTATTTTCTTTCTTGAACTATACTTTTTTTCACCTTCTTAACATCCTCTTTTTTAACAAATAATAGAATCTCATTTTTACGACCGTACAATTGTTAAACAATAACAAGAAAGAAATCCTCTTTTTTCTATAAATTGTTTACCTTGTTAATTCATTATTTTATAAAAGAATTTTTTAACTTGTATTAAATATTAAAAGCATTTTTTCTATACATTAAAAATGTAATATATTTAAATATATTATACACTATTTTCGTAATCAAATATTAGGTTAAAAACATATAAAAAACTTAATAGAGGATACTCTCTCATATCACGAACTTCTTTAACCAGTCTCACCAACTCCGATTAATCGACCGATTGATAGGCTGCGCACAATGGAGGAACAGATATTAGATATTAAAATATTAACCTATCAGATACCAGTTACACCGGAATACACGATTCTGATAGGTTAATATTTTAATATCTAATATCTGTTCCTCCATTGTGCGCACCTTATTGGAACTGACTAATTACATTTACTGTTCAGCAAAATTAAGGCCGCGACACATACTTTTACATGACGTATAATGCATTAAAGAGAATCAACCAATCAAAATGCTTCTCTTCCATGAAGTGGCAAAAAAAGAAGGATTATAATATAAGAATTGACAAATTACATTCATATTTCTCTTTCATTCAGAGTACGGTCCACTTAAAGCCCATTCTACATTGGTCGTATCGTAGGCGTCGCAGGTCACAAATTTGTTGCAACAACCAATCCAATGTGTCAATTAGAAGTCTCACGACGCTTACGATGCTACGATACGACCAATGTAGAATGGGCTTAACACAATAAATGCTTCGAAGCTTTTAATTGACCAATCAGAAGAAAGGATTTTACTAATCGACCAATAAAAAATGCATTGAAGCATTTATGACATTTAAATGGATCGTAGCTTCAATTGTAAACCCGGATCCTTATAAAGACAACAGCGCTTTGACATCAAGCGTTGATTAGTAAAAAAACCGATTGTGGGGGTAAACTTTATTCCCTTCATCCGCTTTTCACCAATCAGCGTTCAGTGTCGAAGCGCTGTGAGGATTTGAGCTAAGGAAGGAATATTCGAGTTATTCGACTGTGATTAGTCAATTCTTATAGATCTATCAGTCAACATCTAGTGAATTTGCTCACTTTAGTAATTTTCATCTTGTTTCAAGATACACAATCGACCCCGAGATATTTTATACATCCATTTCGGAGCTATCGAAATAGCCACGCTACTGCCACAGACTGTGCATAATCGTACAATACGTGCAATGAGACGCCGAATATCTTACGTGAAAATTTCGTGGTTCAAGACGTCAATGGCTCGCGATTGTTGTTCATATTATTTGTAATAGCTATAAGATAATAGAACGCGAGAGTATCGTAAAACTTGGACGAAGTACCGTCTTACAATCTTTGTGTCAGAATTTCATTGCGATGGCCGAAAATCGAGACGCGATACTAGCTGACTTTCAGGTAAATTGATGGATTCTAGAAATTTCTCACAAGCGCAACGCAAATGCATTCGTAGGTTATGGAGTTACGTGTACATGACATTGACAATAATTTGTTTGCATTTGAGGTGAGAACTTTTCCGAAAGGTCCCATAAACTTTCTTCCCAATACTTCAAAAATTAATGATGCATTCAAATACGTGATTTGTATCAGTTTAATCATGCTGACACAGTGATTTGCCAAAATTCGAAAACTTCTGCTTAATTTCTTTGTCATGTCATCTTGTATGACTTTGTTTTGAAACTTGATTTCTCAGATGAATATCGATGACGTATTCTCGTAATAATAAAAATATCACTGTCACTTTTCATTTTGCGTCCTATCTCTGTATTTGTCTTTTAAATGTAAATTATTTTCAGGCTTGTACCGGAATTGACGATTTCGGAGAAGCAATTTTATATTTGGAGCAAACAAACTGGGATTTACTGGTAAGTATAAATATAATGAAAGCATGGAGTGCTTTTTTTGCTTTACAACATGAGACATGGATACTGCAATATAATATAGGTTTTCTAATAAGAAACATAGATGACATAGTGTAACATAGTGTAACATAGTGTATTATTATATCCTTGTAATTTATCAATATTAA